GGCGGAACCGCGTTCCGGCACCTTTTTCCGGGCCGGCCGCACCGGAAATAGCCCCTCCCACACCGGAAATAGCCCCTCCCAAATTTTACTTGCATTCCTGTTCTCTAAAGGGGCGGTCCTAGGGTTTGATGAGGGCGTGGCCAGGTTTGAGTTCCGCCACCTTTTCTCCGAGAAAAAAAGCCCTGTACACAACATATGCGAATACTGTTGTCCTACCTTTCAGAGGAGGAGGAGGATTAAGGATGGGGATGAGGCAAGAGGAAGAAATAAGCAGACAGAAAAAGAAAAAGGGAGAGAAGCGCCATGTAAGGGAAAGATTCTCTCAACTCAAGCTTGACACTTGGCAAGTCCACGGATTCACCATATAATTAGTTGCTAAAGAACAAGTTGAAATTAAATTCAGAGAAGATAGGTGTGGCCAGGCATGCCTTCAAACAATTATATCTAGTGTTCCACTCATTCTCCCTAACTAACCAGATTTGGTATTGACCATACCTAGATGTTGATTGCCCTAGAATACTTCTGTCTTGGCTGCTACAATGTACTCTTCATGGACCTACCATTAAAAAAACTCTAATAAATGAAAATGTAATTGCTAGGGGCTGCTGATCTATACAAGAAACAGAGATCATATGGTTCCTATACTGGTTGTCAGCAGTGTAATATTTATAGTGTTTAATGGTTTAAGGCCTGATTACCTAATGGGCACTTCTCCTGTTATAAATCTGTCTTGTGGATTAAATCGATGGGAGCAGCCACCAGGTGGTCCCGCTATTAAAATTTCATCTTTCTGGAAGGCTTTCCGCTTGGTTCTTCCCAGGTTATGGAATGCATTCTCTTGGCATTATACTATTAGGGTTTAAGAAAGGACTAAAGAAGCACCTCTTTCACCAAGTTTGACTGACTGATTTTAATATTTATTGTTCATCTTAATCAGTATTTTTATGTAATTTTGGTTTTTACGTTTGGTTAACTGTCCTGAGTGTTCACCAGAGAGGGAAAGGATTGATAGGGGGCTTTTACACAAGCTATCAAAATAATACAGGTGCATTAGGGAATACACAGCTAAATCTCCTGATGATATTCTTCACCGCATATAACATTTATCTCTTTTATTACAGACCATTTAGTACATTTTCTCCACATCAGCATTCCCCAAGCTAGTACTTGCCAGAATGTCCAGCTAGCATGACCAATGGGAAGCTATTGTCTAACACCTTAGAACAGGGGTAGTCAACCTTGGCTCTTTTATGACTCGTGGACTTCAACTCCCAGAATTCCTGAGCCAGCTAAGCTGGCTCAGGAATTCTGGGAATTGAAGTTCACGAGTCATAAAAGAGCCAAGGTTGATTACCCCTGCCTTAGAAGAAGATCAGACAGGCTCATTTTGTCACATTTCATACTATAAATACAGCCATAAGGAGGGAATATTCCAAATATACTTTTTTATCAATTTTGCTCTCACTGTGCTATAATATTGATAAATACACTAAAAACACCACCGCTCTATTCAAAGTGTCTTTTCAACTGACTGTCATTTTCTTTAGTAAAAGAAAAGTTGCAGTTCTACAATTTTGTCATTTTTTTTAACAAACCCACTTTTATATGAAAGGAAAGTATATATGAAATAGGGATTTATTTCTTAGCTGTCATCCTTTACTATTCTAACTTTATATAACTATGTATATCTTCTGCTGCAATCTGGTTACAAATAACTTTTTAGGTGCCTCCTGGGCAGTTTTGACTCCTGGTGACCGCCTGGACAAATTCAGAGTTTTCTTGGCAAGATTTCAGAAGTATTTTACCATTGCTTCTTTCTTAGGGCTGAGAGAGAGTGACTGGCCCAAAGTCACCCGGCTGGGTTCATATCTAAAGCAGGACTAGAACTGATTTCTAGACTAGTGACTTAACCACTGTATCAAATTGACTCCTGCTAACATGACAGAAGACATTAAAATAGGTAAGATTAAGGTAAGATGGAAGGAAACCAAATATAGTCAGTCCCTGATTTATGATTGGTCACTTAACAACCATTCAAAATTACAATGGATCCCCCCCCCCCCCAGAAGGTACTTATCACCCAAATTCAAAGTTATGACAGCCGCCTCCCCTCAAGGTCACATGACCACATTTTGGGCACTCAACAATTGATCACATTATGACCTGCTTAATGACCATCACAACTTATGACTGTAGGGTAGTTGGTGCACTGATGTTACCTAGTTTGGTAATGAAACGTCTGCAAGAAAATTAGCTCAGAGACCACCGAAGACCCCACAGTCCTGAGCTACAAATATTCTTTTCTAACACTATGACTGTAATTGCAGGGTCAGTCAGGGTCATAAATTGAGGGATACTTATACTGGTGGTCCTCCAGTTACAACCATTCATTCAGTGAACCTTCAGACTTACAACAGCACTAAAATACAAGAGGGTACAAAAGAAGAGGAAATTCAGTAGAATTTGCCACCTTCACTTCTCTATCAGGAGCAAACTCAGAATCCTAACTATATGATTAGACTGAGAAGCCCACCTACCCATGCAGGTTGATAGGCAGAACCCTTTTTTTGCCTACCTCATCTGTTACCTCTTTAGGAAACCTATATAATATTTACTAACATTTACAGGTATCTTATTTTTCTTCTTATATCTTTTGTTTTACTTTTTATTGGTAAGCTGCCCAGAGTCACCATGGAATCAGAGTGGCCTTGAAGATGATGATGGAGGAAAACCTTATAGAGCAGCTTTAATAGGATGTATACTCATAAAAACTTGATTCATTTTTTAAATTCCCCCACTTTAAAATTCAGCGTTCAGCTTCTACTCTGAAAAAAGTATGTGAAGAGAGGAGCCCATTAATTTTGTCTCTCGCAAACCACTTTCAAACCAGAATAAAAGCTCTGAGAAATTCCTTTGCAAAGGGTATAAGAAAATCCAATTTTAAAAACTATATAATGTGTTACTCAATAATTGTCCAGAGGGTGTAACTACCACATGTTATCTCCATAAGGCCAATTTTTTTTAAAAAAGAGGATGACTTCTGATGTGCCTTGAATAGCATTGTTCTATATTGCTAAGGAATTTTATATATGTGAGTAACATATATTATTGTTTTTAAATATGTTTTAAAACAGTAGGACTCTTCAAAAGGATATTACAAAATATACATAACAAGACATTTATTTTTTAATTAATGATACATTTTGAATCAACATAGGTAACTCTTGATTAGATGTGTAATATCTGATCACACACTTAAAAGAGTCAGGTTTGTGAAGATAAAATTATCAAAATGTTCTCATTCATGGTGACTACCATATAATAGCTGATATTGTTTTCCAAGCACATATTAGTTATAGAATTAGAAAAGCTGTGTCCTGAAACCAGATTAATTTGCAGGGATTTTATCCCCATAGCCACAGAGGCTATTAAAAATAAATAGTGTTTTTTTTTAATTCTCCCAACAGAGCACTGAGGTATCCAAAGAGGAGAAACTGTGACCATTATCTAAACTAGGAGAGAGAAGCAGAAAGTAAGTTTACAGGGAAGAAAAGGTGAATATCTAGGCTATCAACTACCATAATTATGAAAATGTTAACATTAGCAGGAATATTGGTACTTACAGTGCCTGGATCTCTGTCTGTTCCCGTAGTAACCAAGAAATGCACAGACATGCCCGTTCAGACACAGAGGCAAGAACAGAAATAAAAAAGGGGGAAGAAATTAGAACAGAAGCCGCAAACAGTTTTAAAATGGCTTTTATTTATATAAGTCATTGCACATTCCTAATACAGTGATTTCCTGAAAAATTACATTTTGTAAACATGATTTACAGTTTAACCATACACAAGGCCTAGTTCTTTCCATGACAGAATAAATTAATTTTTATTCTTCAAAAATTATTCAAGTGCAATTCGCCCAATATTTAAAGGTGTCCTAAACAAAACTACAAAAAAGGAGCAATGCTTAAAATCTTTCATTTCAACTCATTCAACTCAAATTTTATTCTTCATTTGCCCACTCTTTCTTTCACCTCTTGCCCACTTTCCATTAAAGATTTCTTTAATTAAAAAAAAAAAGGAAACAAAAATATTGCCCACTTATTCTGGTGTAATGATCATCCACACAATATTGTGCTGGCCACTGAGGTTACAACTAAGCATCTGTAGGGATGTTAAAATGCCCTGCATTTCATCAAAGCAGGAGAGAACCTGGTGCGCTCCAGGCTCAAAAAAATAAGTACCTCAAGCTAAATTTTGTTTCAGTGGTATAAATGCAGAACAATTTATTCTTAAATGTTTGGCATTATAATTGTTCTTGGCTTTCATTCTAAATAGCTCCTTAGGATTCTTTAGAGATGCCCACAATTTTCAGCAACGTGCGAACACTTATTTGAAATGTCCTAATCAGGCTTCCCATGCCTCTCACCTCTGTGGTGGTCTGCATCGTGATGCTTCTTGTCATCTTTTATTGCCAAGTGAGACTGCCCACCCAGAGCGCTTGAGAGGGCAAGAAGGCCAGCACTGCTTCCAAGCGGAGGGATCCCAGGAGGCTGAAGTCCTGATGGGTGTGGAGTAAGAGGCACTGGAGGTCCATGGCCGTGAGACAGATGCTGAGCCTGCAACTGCTGTTGCTGTTATTTATTGTGGTATTTCCAGATAGAACCAGCAGGCAATTGGGAGGGAGGGAGGAAGGAAGGAAGGAAAGAAAGAAAAGGAGGACTGGTTAGGCAATGAACATAACACCATTCCTTGTCTCAACCTCTCCCCTACTTCAGCCTGGTCTAGGTAACCACCCTGCGCTAGGTTTCACAACTCTAAGAATACTGCCTTGGATACTTATTCTTTTCTTTTTTTTCATTACAGAACTAAGCCATGCAATTTAATCTACAGCCCAACTAACAGATTTGTGTAGTCTAGACTCTGGTAGACAGCTGGCACCTTTCAAATCCATCTCCGTATTAAAAGAATTAGTGCCGACAGAGATATCATTGCTCTCACCTTCCTGTCTCCAAATGCTTGTTTTCACAACTGCTTCGAATAAAGATGAAAACCAACAACTTGAAAGGGCCCTATCTAAAATAAGTCTCTGTTACAGCTTCTACTAGGAACATTTCCAATACTTGAATCACCAATTGGAAAAGTGACCAAGCGAGTGTTCTTTCTTTTCATTTAATTCTTGTTGTAGATGTATGCTTGACATTAAGACTGACAGAATCCAAACAGAGTGTTGATCTGATTAGTCTTACCCTCAGGGCACTTTATGAGATTTACTTCAACAATTTCAAATCTATGTACCTATTCCCAAATTCAGCTAAAGATCAGAATGATCTTTGCCAGATCACAATATAGGCTAGCCTTTTCCAACCTCAATGCCCTCCAGATGTTCAGACTTCATGTCTCAGAATTCCCCAGATCACAGCTGAAAATTCTGGGACTGAAGCTTGTGGTTCTGGAAGGTGCCTTATTTGGAGAAGATGCAGTTATGTATAACATAGCAAATATATATGTTTTTCTCTTCCAGTCTACCCCAGTTTCAATGTTAACACTAGGGATAACATAATCAATTTGACTGAGCTCCGAACAGAAGGCAAGAGATTGACTTAAGCTGCAAGGCTTCAAGTTACTATTTATCGTCTCAAAAATAAGCCCCTCTGTGAATAATGACACGTACTTCCAGATAAGCATGTATTACAGCCTTCCCCAACTTAGCACTCTCTCCAGATAGACTGAGACTGGGATTCTAGAATTCCCAATATAGTTAGTGCCAGGTTGGAGAAGATTAGTGCATAGAACTGCAACCCACACCTTGTATCTTAGGAGCCAGAAAGTCTACTTAGCCCTTTCCAATTTTGAAATAATTGTTTAAAGTGCTTACATTTGTAAGCAAGGGTCTCTGCAGTATGACTTCAGCCAAGCTGCAACTCTCAAGAGCTGATAGCATTACCAGGTCCTGTGTTTGACACATGGTACAATCATATCAATTACATTTATCACCTCAATAGGGTAGTACTTACTGATTTTTTTAAAAAAAAAAACGATAATCATTACTACTGTGCTTATAAATAACAACATTTAACAAAATGTTAAGAGGCACTTAAAGGAAAGTACTTGTTTCATCCGTATCTTAGAACAAGAAAGTGAAACATCTGCTTTTTCTGAGTTATTAATATTGTTTTCAGTTACATTTTGTGTAGCAACTAGAGAAGACACATTTAAAATCTGTCTCAAACATGTTCATTAGAAAGCTTTGGGCTATTTAATCTTTTTAGCAGTGCTTCCTATCATCATAAAGCTGACCCAATCCATACAGTCATTGTGAGAACATGTATTACAAAACACTTTCATATTATAAAAATTATAAAGTATATATTTTTACCAAAATTTTTACCATGTCTAAACGTACTCTGTGCATTCTAGCAAAGGACATCTGAGATATATATACACTTTATATATACTTTTCGCATCAGGTATTGTCTTGCTACTGCTTCTCCAGTACTTTTCCTTTCTTAATGTTACAACAGGTAACAAGCTAACAAGTAACAGGTAACATGCCAAACAAAGCACAGCACAATTTATGCTCTTTTCACAAGAGAAGCATCTCTTCAAGTTTAGGTATGATATACTTTTATAAATAAATTGGCATCTAGCAAATAAACCCTGGGATTCTATTTTTTCCATAATTTACAAAAAGTTTTACAAAAAAGTTACAACTGTGAGCTCTGCCATGTCACCTTGAATTCAAGGTCAAAAGATCTCAAACACTGTTTTATACAGCTGTTTATATTTAGAGCTTCCGAGGAACATGTCCAAAAGGGGGGGGCATGGTTAATTTTTTAAAAAAAGTAATTTTATTAAAAATGTAGAATTAAAAAGATAAAAATTAATGCAAAGTAAGAAAAAAGCAGTGCAGAAAAGAAAAATAGAAATTACTTTCCCCCTCATCAAAATAGGTATAAACATAGTAATTTACCATCTTCTATTAACAAAGGTGGGTTAAAAAAAAATTAAGAAATCCCTCTTTCTCCCATTACCTATCTCTTATCAATATACAGATCCTAAAAAGGGCAAGGGAATCTAGCATTTTAAGGTGGAGCATTAACCTTGTGTAATACTTATTTGAAATGTTCTACATGGAAATGAAAACTCAGGTATTTCCATAATGATTATTTTTATGTCACTTCAATTATTTCACCACTAATGGGTTCACAAATACATATGTTGAAAGGGTGTATGAAAGGATTTCCCACAGTATGCACACATTCCACTTCCTAGCTGCCACCAACATGACATTTGAACAATATGTGAGGGGGTTCTATGCACATATAATGTGTGAAGGAACTTTCTGCTGATCAGGATGCATGTAGTAACTCTCCCTTAGTATCAAGTGTGGAAAATGGGATATAATGGCTGCTGCATACATCCTTGTCATTCATTGGTGAGCAAAGCTGAAAATACTCTTGTTTTCTACTTTTTAAAAGGAATTTCCAGTTGAAGTTTTGTGGGTTTTTTTGTGGATTCAAACAAACAAGATATTATGATTGAAGGATTAAACAATGCTGAGAACCCAATTCAGTGTAGCACAAAAAGCTGCATGTTTCATCAGGTGGTTTGGAAGAAGTATAATCATTTGGAAACAGTCTGACTTACTGGAATAATAATGAACAAGTAAAAGACTCATTTTGTCTTTATTTAGTAAACTTGAGCTATTATTGTGCAAACTGAACCAGATTCATGCAGATTCTGCATGAATTATCAAGCCAGCTTACAATAAATGATAGATTCATTCCCTCCTTTTCTCTTCTTTTTACATCACTCATAATTTTTAGATTACAAACCTGAAGTTGGGTACTTTAAACACTGCACAAAAATGTGTCGAAAGTATAATGTGATTTTAGGTGTTTATTAATGCTTACAATGTTATTTTTACAATAGCATCCAACTTTCAACTCATAGAAATGCTAAAATTAAATGCTCAAATGCTAAAATTATCATTATTTTTATAAAATAAACAATATCTTGCTAACAGAAAAGTCCAGGCTTGGTTGTTAACTTGCGTTATAAAAAGAATGAATAGGAGTCTGTATTTAAACAACAATTCAACATTACAACACAGTAGTAAAACATTATTGAATACTGTATATTGGAGAAGGCTTTTTTAAAAAGTGGTGTTGTTTTTCTGCTTGCTGTGAAGTGCAAAGTCAGTAGAATTGGCATTGTGATGCTTGCATATACAGAATAAAACAATATTTCAATAAATAAGTTTTACTTGATACAGAAGCTGAATTTAGATATTTCATCTCAGCTAGAGAGATTATGTTTAGATTATCAGACTGAGCATATATTTCCAGTCAACTAGAGTTGCAATCTCATATGAACCAGGAAACTATGTTTAGCACAATTTAGTATATTGGACCATGACTTGAATATTTCTAACTCTAGCTGATTCCAAAACTGTCAAGCTCAGTTTTCTAATTCAGAAAAAAATGCAAAGTAGAGTTAATTTTGGAAGACTTCCTGATGTCTTTGCCAGAAACAATATGTATCTGAGCATTGGGTACATAGACAGAAGCTATACGGTATTATAAATCTTTCATATATCAGAGTAACAGTTACTTCCTTTTTTAGTCTCCTAAAATTCATATTCACAAGTCAAATTGGGCAATGATTCAATGTGAAAACATTATATGCAACTAGTATCACTGATTTGGGGTGACAGAATCACAATAGCATCATTAATTCAGATATGAAGAAATGGATGTGAGATCAATCATGTGCCCCATTAAATGATAAACATGGTACACAAAATCTTGTAAATTTGCTTAAATGGTTAAAGGAGTTCTTTAGTTTTAATCATGTGAAGCAAACCACTATATTTACAGCAACTAAATGTGTTTTAAACCACTTTTATTCTCTGCTCCAAAAACAGAAAGGTGAAGTAGTTAAACTAACTTAAAATCAGTTTCAAATATTTAAAGGAATGTCAGTAACATTCTTAAGCCTTACCTTTAAGCAAGGTTCATTACAGAAATTTCTATTTGTAGGCTTTTGTGATTTTTTTAAACCTCTTCATGAGGATAATGTATAAGTTGTTTTATACTAGTTCAGTATTTATTTTTCCAACTTATTGTACTACTGTTCACTCCAACTGGCAATTCCTATCCAGACTGTTAAGTGGATAGGAATTTCCCCCTATCACCTAGTCAATTATTATTTTTTAGCTTAGATCACTTAAGTTAAAACCTACTGTATACAAAGCATGTGGCTCAATGAATTGTATCCTTTCCCGCTCCTAGAAAAGTGCATGTATAGTGTTTTCTTCTTAAGTAAGGTGTTAGTAGGTGATGGTCTTCTCCAATCTTGAATTCAAAAGTAACATTGTACATCTGACAATACGCTGGATTTACAATTAGTATACTAATAAAAAGGAGGTTGATTAATGCTTACAACAAAGTTTGAAAAACCAGGAAATTAGTGTAACTGAGAAAGCTCTCCTTTGCTTCCTTGAATAACTTTGAACTAGTTTAAATACCGTGTTTCCCAGAAAATAAACCCCACCCTAAAAAAAAGACCTACCCTGATTTTTTGGGGGGTGGGTCTAATATAAGCCCTACTCCAAAAATAAACCCTAATT